ATGCAGTGGAACAAAATGGAAAATATGTCATACAACAGGAACTAAAAAAAGATGCAGCCTAGGTCGTCTAAGAAATGGGTGCAACATTGATAAAATTCTTCATTGAATGAATTCTGCAAATGCTATTGATAAAATGTGTGGTGATTATAAGGAGACCACTTTACTATAAAATTGCTCAGGATTCCCTATCTGGACCTGTCAAAAAATCCTGACTGCACACCAACAATGAGCATTAAATCCGAAACCTCTACCAGGTACCTAGGGATAATTAAATTCTGATTCAGGAAAATATTTCACATCATACAAATAAAAACCTTTACTATATTGAAACTGAAAATGTGATGCCGATTCAGTGACCTAAGGGTCTCAAAGTATAATGATGACTTAATCTATTATAAATTTGGTAGTGACTGCCGACCGGCGTCTGGCGGCCTAGACCTTGAGGCTTGAAAGTGGCCTTCCTTTTCCATTGACTCCGATCATCCAGATGGAAATGATATAAAGGATCATTTTTATCTTATTTCATATGAGCCAGTCAGCAAAGTGGCTATCCTGTTTCAGCATTCACGCACACAATAGTTGACTGTCAGTCTGTCATGCTGTCAGTGTTGTGAAGTAACGAAGGAGTTGAGTTTTGTTGATTATAAATTGTGATGTTATGTAAAGGACTGGAAAATGAATGTGAAAACTGTGGAAACATATTGGCAGAGTATTGTCACTTACTATCAGGACATATGGATAGAGAATACATTCAAATTAATAAGAAATGCCAAATATCAAGGTATTCAATCACTGATAGCAGTGGACTATCATATGTTTTAATGTCAATTATATGAAAGTTAAGGCTGAAACTACCTTTTACCTCATCATACCTAATGAAAAATTGTGTGAAGAAAACATCCACAGCCTCTTTGAAGCACTTAGACCACTAAAAAACAAAAAAAATTCACGTAAATATGGTGTGTCTCCTTCCTTCAAAACATTATATCGGATGGCGCCACTTTCGTCGACAGTTACTTATCTGCACGTAAATCGAGGAAAACGTGAATTGATTGACGTTTACGTGTTTCCAAATTTAAAATCACAGCATATTCAAACTTTTCAAAGTACCTTTTAACATCTAAGTATAACTAAAACGATAAAAACTTACCTTCAACACAAGGACGACGACAACCACGCGACCTGAGACGTCGCGACGAAATAAACAAACGGCGCCGCCAAATGAAAAATATTCTCCGATATGGGTAATGTGAAATTGAGTCGCAATCATTTTGGGTAGTATGAAAAATGCTCTTTCCAACAGAACCCTAGTAAAAAACGTGAATGGACAAAAAATAACTTTAATTTCGACATAAATATTGGCCTGTTTTTAAGTCATCCTGGTATGCCGTAAGATTTCGACCTATAAATTGGTGTTCCCCCAATCATTGAAGCTTGAGCAGTGAAAAATATGAAAGCCTTATCTGTTTTGCATCATTAGTGATTCTCCTAGGGTGTTGCCATTTCTCCCTAGGTGTTGCGAGTTGCTTTTGCAAAACGTGTTCCTGAAACGGCTCAATTTTTTGAGCCCTCAGCATTACGCCTATGGGAGCCTCTGACGTCACACGCTCAATATTTTGAGCGCTCAATTTTTTGAGCTTTTCCCCCTTGTGCGTGGGACTGAAATAGCCGTGGATGCCAAAAGGCAAAAAACCATATGTATTGATTGTCTGGCAAAACCGCATATGTTGTGGAAGTGAGTCAGCTGATAGCATTGGCAAAAACACATATGTTGTCATAATGGTGACACCAATGACAGAAAAGCATACGTAGCTTACTGAGAGTGCCGTTTGCAATGTCAAAAATGCTTATGCTGTAGACTGTAAATGGTTCACTGTATGGAGCACTGAGGTAAAAATAACCAGGTGCATTCACAGCGTTAATAAACCCAGGGACTTTATGCGATTTCCAATCAAAACGAATCAGACACGCAGGTCAACAGGATGCAAATGGATGAGGAAAAAAAAATCGACTGGAAAGCTTCTTCCATGTCGCATTAAATAGATACTAAATCCCAACTAAAACAGCCTAGAATATCAGTCCTTGTGCCTTAGATAGTATGTTCCTGCCCTAATAGGTATTACACGATTCAACTGAAACCAACCATTTTGTCGTCACTTCGGCCAGGCATAAACACTCTGAATTCCCAAGTAAGATGTATTACACTGAAACATTCAGCAGGGCACAAAACCCTAACTCGGTAACTACATGTGCACCTGAAAACGTGGTAGACTGTAGTCTACAATCCAAAATCGCGCATTATTCGCATATTTTGATAGCTCGTCCCACAACTTGCACCAATATGTTAGTTTTACAGTTTAGCAAGCATTCGGTTTCCACCATTTTCAAAAATCAATACAATGAATGGTAAATCACCAAAGCAATCACGGACGAAACAAACTGCGTCCGTCAAACGCCACGGCAGCCGAAAGGCGCTGCAGCGGAAAATATAAACATATAACTCGCCCAAACTACACAGCATGAGTTCATGGGTAAACTTTTCAAATAAACGATAGGTTGACACGCTGCAGTACAATTCATTTCGTGAATCACACATTAAACCAAATAAATTATGGTAATAATCACAGCCTGGGCTCCATCCAGCTCTATGCGGCCAGAGGAGGTCCGTCCGACAGGGCCGCTGCTGCCGCAACAGGACCGGTCACCTGCTGCTGAGGGGACGCCGCTGCGGCCAGGAGAGGTCCGCTCGACAGGGCCGCTGCCGGCTGAGGGGACGCCGCTCCGCCCAGAGGTCCGTCCGACAGGGCCGCTGCTGCCGCAACAGGACCGGTCACCTGCTGCTGAGGAGACGCCGCTGCGGCCAGGAGAGGTCCGCTCGACAGGGCCGCTGCCGACAGGACCGGTCTACTTTCGCCTTTTCTTTTGCTGTCCTGTAGCGTTCATGTCCCCGCCACCGGAACGTTTCCCTTTGGACTTAGCTTCCAGCGATACCCAGAATGCTCGCTTGTGAGGCGTGATGTGAGGTGTCAGACGGGCGCAGATGTCGGCGATTTTCTGTCGATCCATGTTTGGCGCAGGACTCGTCAGGTCGAACTGCTCTTCGGCAGAAACGGTGGCCCGGAGCAGAGCATAAGACTTCCAAGTTCTTGCCCCCAGCTCAGTTTTCGTGTAGAGCAGCTCACTCCCGCGGCGAACCTGGATGGTTTTGAAGGAGGCTATGTACGGGCGAACTCCCTCGTTCGCCAGAGACTGGAGGCGACTCTGGCTGATGCCGGACGTTACTTCCGGCATGTTCACCCCTGGCTGCATTTCAATCGCCCGACATACCTCCGACACAGTGTCGACGTAGTCCCGCCAATCTTCCACAATACCTCTCCTGGACAGGTTTTTACTTAGGACTTGGTGTGTGGCGTCCGCCGACATGCTGGTGTGGCCGGGTTCAAAATACTTCATAGTGATCGTCTTCGTCTTCGTTCGTGGTGAGTGGATCGCCTTCAGAAGAGCGGTCATGAGGGCCCAGCTCTTGTTCTGGCCGGCGCAATTGTCGGCCCATATCACCACCCGCGTGACATCGCGACAAACCTCGTCCAGAAAGACGAGGTACGCTCCGGCCACGTCCTCCGCACTCCTCCCTGCCTCTCCCTCGTGCCAGATCACACATGCACTCATGAGCCGCTGCATCAGCTTTCTGTTTTCTTTCCTGGTCTTCTCCTGAGGCATCAGCAGACTGAATGTCTCGTTGTACACTGGCAGGCGCTGTGTGAAGATGGCCTCTTTCACTGGAAGAATGGGCATAACGATCACCATCATGTCTGCGGAAAGTACTACTTGGCCCTCCTCCCATTCAGCATCCGCATCAGCCCGGTAGCCTTTCGTCCTTCTTCAGCGTCTGTCATGTGCTTCTTGTGCGTCGCACAGTGATCACAGTGGTCGACGTGCTCTGACGGCTCCTTTAAGGAAATGCCATGGGCGTCCAGCATGTGCTTTGTGTGCAGAGAACATTTACTGCATTCTTCGCCGGCCAGTGTTGTGAAGCTGATGTTCATTGAACGGACAACTTTTCTGTATTTCTCCAACGAGCAGGGAGGCACCGGCTTGTCACGACAGAACTCGGAATACATTCTCTGCACGGTTAGGTCGGCTGGCAAGTAGCGCCGAAGAGGTGCATGAGAATAACGGTAGTGGTGGCGAATGGGATGCATAGATTCGATGTGCCGGCGAATCTCCTCATCGTCGACCTTGTTGGCTGGCGTGTGGCGTCCTCTTCTGTCGGATGGCGAAGACTCACTGTCGAGAGCGGTGAGTATAGGCCCCATATTGTCCTGCGTCAACCCAAGGGTGGTGAGGAAAAATCCTTTGCATACTTGCTTACAGTCTCCGTTGCCATTCGGTAGAGTAAACTTGGACGATCGGTTCTTCTTTTTGAACAGGACATTTTTTTCTGGCTACTTCTCCTCGACATCACTGGCATCGCCTTCACATGTGATCTTATCCATTCCTGTCGTGTTTTCCTATCCTTGTTGTTGACTTTGCTGTTGATCTGCACGCGTTCGTTTTCGCCGAAGACTGTCGAGCAAGACTGTCTGCAACCAGAAATACAGCGGCTTGGGACAGGCAGCACAGAGTGTTTTTCTGCGTACTTCTTTGTCTGTTCTTCTACGTTCCGTGCTCTTTGTTTTTTTTTCTGGTTTTCTTCCCCGTTCTGTTCTGTACTTTGCCCGTATCCATCAAACTCCTCACCCAGGGTCTGCTCTGGCAAGCTCCTGCCGTTCTCTGTATAATCCTGTTCATGCGGCATTGCATCGCATAGCTGAGGGCCAGAGGAGTTCAGAGACATGTCTAGCGCTGTTATTAATGGGGTGATATCCAACAACGACGAAAACCCAGATGATGCTGACATGTCAATGACACTTTCACCGTTCATCCAGTCATTTCTCCAAACGCCAAAAAAAAAATTCCAAAAATTTCAAAATTTCCGCGCCAAACGCAGATACATCCGGCTAAGATACTGCCACTGCACCGAGAAGAGGTCCGTCCGGCAGAGCCGCCTCCGCCGCGACAGGACCGGTCACCTGCTGCTGAGGGGACGCCGCTGCGGCCAGGAGAGGTCCGCTCGACAGGGCCGCCTCCGCCGCGACAGGACCGGTCACCTGCTGCTGAGGGGACGCTGCTGCGGCCAGGAGAGGTCCGTCCGACAGGGCCGCTGCCGGCTGAGGGGACGCCGCTCCGCCCAGAGGTCCGTCCGACAGGGCCGCTGCTCCGGCAACAGGACCAGTCACCTGCTGCTGAGGGGATGCCGCTGCGGCCAGGAGAGGTCCGTCCGACAGGGCCGCTGCTGCCCCAACAGGTCCGGTCACCTGCTGCTGAGGAGACGCCGCTGCGGCCAGGAGAGGTCCGTCCGACAGGGCCGCTGCCGGCTGAGGGGACGCCGCTCCGCCCAGAGGTCCGTCCGACAGGGCCGCTGCTGCCGCAACAGGACCGGTCACCTGCTGCTGAGGGGATGCCGCTGCGGCCAGGAGAGGTCCGTCCGACAGGGCCGCTGCTGCCGCAACAGGACCGGTCACCTGCTGCTGAGGGGACGCCGCTGCGGCCAGGAGAGGTCCGTCCGACAGGGCCGCTACTGCCGCAACAGGACCGGTCACCTGCTGCTGAGGGGACGCCGCTGCGGCCAGGAGAGGTCCGCTCGACAGGGGACGCCGCTGCTGCCGCAACAGGACCGGTCACCTGCTGCTGAGGGGACGCCGCTGCGGCCAGGAGAGGTCCGTCCGACAGGGCCGCTGGTGCCGCAACAGGACCGGTCACCTGCTGCTGAGGGGACGCCGCTGCGGCCAGGAGAGGTCCGCTCGACAGGGCCGCTGCTGCCGCAACAGGACCGGTCACCTGCTGCTGAGGGGACGCCGCTGCGACCAGGAGAGGTCCGTCCGACAGGGCCGCTGCCGGCTGAGGGGACGCCGCTCCGCCCAGAGGTCCGTCCGACAGGGCTGCTGCTGCCGCAACAGGACCGGTCACCTGCTGCTGAGGGGATGCCGCTGCGGCCAGGAGAGGTCCGTCCGACAGGGCCGCTGCCGGCTGAGGGGACGCCACTCCGCCCAGAGGTCCGTCCGACAGGGCCGCTGCTGCCGCAACAGGACCGGTCACCTGCTGCTGAGGGGACGCCGCTGCGGCCAGGAGAGGTCCGTCCGACAGGGCCGCTGCCGGCTGAGGGGACGCCGCTCCGCCCAGAGGTCCGTCCGACAGGGCCGCTGCTGCCGCAACAGGACCGGTCACCTGCTGCTGAGGGGACGCCGCTGCGACCAGGAGAGGTCCGTCCGACAGGGCCGCTGCCGGCTGAGGGGACGCCGCTCCGCCCAGAGGTCCGTCCGACAGGGCCGCTGCTGCCGCAACAGGACCGGTCACCTGCTGCTGAGGGGACGCCGCTCCGCCCAGAGGTCCGTCCGACAGGGCCGCTGCTGCCGCAACAGGACCGGTCACCTGCTGCTGAGGGGATGCCGCTGCGGCCAGGAGAGGTCCGTCCGACAGGGCCGCTGCCGGCTGAGGGGACGCCGCTCCGCCCAGAGGTCCGTCCGACAGGGCCGCTGCTACCGCAACAGGACCGGTCACCTGCTGCTGAGGGGACGCCGCTGCAGCCAGGAGAGGCCCGGGAGGAACCTCTCCAGGTGAACTTGCGTTGTCCGAGATGTCTGTAGTGGAAAAGTAATTGCGTTGTTATTCACAAAAGGAAATATTTTACTATTTTCATGTAGGAAGGACTATATTCTACATAAAGTAGTGTTTCTCTTGGAAGCTTATTACGCGTTGACCAATCATATTGCGTATTTCAAAACCAGCTGCATGCTGATTGGCTGACGCTGAGGTGACTGCGTTCTGTGCATTCTTCTACAAGGCACCACATTCCTCTACACATGGGCGTAGGAACGGCTGGAATATTGTGGGTGCATAGGTGCAGAAATCCAGCCATGGCCGGTGAAGCGGGGGGGGGGGGGGGCGACACCCGAGCGAAGGCTCGTTACGAGCTTTGAGGGTGTACCATGTCGAAAAGGTACCAACCGATAAGTGTATTTGGAAGCATTGACCCTCGCATGTGTAGGGGGGTCGGATGACCCCCCCCTCCATGGTTGTTCGCAAATAACTCGCGCAAAAAGCGGCCGATCGCGACGAATTTTTTAGTACCCTCGAGTTGATCAGTTTTACACCTAATCTAAAAATTTCATGACCCTGACCCAAAAGACCTTTGACCTGTGACCTGATTCTCGAGACCATGTTCGGCCGGAATCGCGATTTGGCGTATGTCAGCTCACATTATCCGCGCGTTTCCAGTCTTTTTGTGATTGTAGACGTCCAAACATGTGAAATGATGTTCGTCCCATCATGCATCACGGTGGGTGTGAAGGTCACCTGAAGGTCAGGTCAGGTCATTGACCTTTGATGACCTCGGCTCACTTTTTTGAGTTTTACATGTTTCTAGGGTAGTTTTTCGGGCTGATTTCGAATTTAGCATCCATTTGAACGTTTACGAAGTAGTTTTAGTGCTTTCGTGACATGCTACGACGCCGTCAGTGGTAGTTGACACCTACTATGGATAGCCGGTAGGACGCCTAATGGTTGACCTGACCTGACCTGACCCGATCTGGCCTAAATGCATGAAGAAATCATCTGTGATCAAAACTAACATCAGATATTCGTGATCAGCACCCCGAAAAACCCGATAACAGCTTCACTTTACGCAGTTCTAGCATGTCCCGATTTTCCCGACTTTTGGAATATTGACCTGACCTGGAAGGTCAACCAATGAAGTAGGACCTTAAAATTGGGTATCAACGGCTTCCTCTCGTCACGGGCAATACCCTCGTTTTTTTCCGCGAAGCTCTAGCTCGATCAGGGGCCGAACGGCAGGGGGTCCGACCGACCCCCCTCCCCCTCCCCCTACACATTAGAAGCTGGAAAACGCTGCACACATTCGAGGGCTAATATTGTCAATATTGACTACCGCAAAAAGTAAAAGCGGCCAACTTAGCCATTTTCGAAGATATCGGGCTAAAATTTTTGACAGTGGGTCATCGGTTCGGTATGTGTTCAATCACATGCTCCATTTCCCTTTTTTCAGCACAAATGTAAGTTTTGAAGACCATCACTGATCACAGTAGCAAATGCTTCGAAAGATGGATAGTAGGCAACATATCCTGAATTTGCCGTGCTGCATGGGAAGTAGTGTTGATGAAAAAGGGGTTTTTGGTTCAGATTATTGTGGGTGCAGAATACATTGTCTGCACCCACTGGATAAATATTGTGGGTGCAGCTGCACCCTTGCACCCATGGTTCCTACGCTTATGCCTCTACAACTACAAGGCACTTTTTTCGGAACGAGAAATGGAATACCTATCTTTGCCTAGGATTGATCGGTGGGGTGTAAAAGCTCCTGCTTTGTGCTAGCCTCAGCCCAAGCTACAAAACTGCTAGGTACCTATTCCAGTTCAAAACCTCCTGTTAAAAGTGATATATTTCCTTTAAATCATTCAATATCAAGAAAAAAAACGCGCGGTGATGTTAACTAAAATACTTAATCAATAAACGCACTTTAATTTCCTATGCTTGATATTTAATACCACAGTTTTGCACTACCTTCACAATTATTTTTGAATTTATTTTACTGACCTTGTATGAACCGACGAGCTGCAGATATCTTGCGTGTAGCAGCCAAAGTACCCGTCCAAAATTTCCCTCCATGTTTCAGCTTCACCCGACCTCCAGCGCAAAATGATGACCCGGGTACAACCTTCAAAGCGCTGACAGCCACGTAGTGCGAAGCTCCTCGGCTTTGGTCATCCCATTCTACCCTGACTTCTCTCTTTTTCTTACGTTTTCTCTCGTCCATCGCAAAACGTTCGTCAGTTATGAACGAGGATCAGGAAATTCATGCCCGGAATGCACTGCTCAAAAATTACAATAGTTACAACACAACCAAAAAGACAAGCACCCTAAACCCCTGCACACTACCAACAACTCCTAAGCCTAACCCAACCTAACCAAACCGACCTTGAGCCGAACTAACCGCCTTGAACTAACCGGAGTTCTATAGCCTTGAACTAACCGAACTAACCTATATAGAGCATCGGGATTCTTGCACATTATGAACGTGCATGATGTGCAAGCACACTTCCTACTCAGGAGAAGCGGGAAGCTATGTGTGGAAGAAACGCATATGTCATTTACTTGGCCTAGCTAACGTGTCAAAGCTGCATATGTTCCGGCCACAGAAGAATGGCAAAAACGCATATGTTTAAAAAAAAATACACTTGATGCCAGAAAAATATATGTCTGCTTTCGTTGACATATGTCTTTTTGTCAGCAGGGCTGACTGCGTTTCAACGAACATATGCGTATATGCCTGCTTCAGGCCGACATATGCGCTTTTGCCCGACGTAGATACACACCTCCCTGACGTATGTGTTTTTATGTAGAGATTTTTCAAAATAATTCAAAATTTTGGTTTTCTTGGATAACAATATATATGTCGTAGGCATCGGGTGAAATCCGGCATTTCATGAAATGCCTAGGCATTACATGGAATGCCGGCAAAATTGAAATATTCGTAGAAACAGGCGCGTTACAGCGAATGCCTGAAAATTTTAGGCATTTCATGAAATGCCATGCGGAGGCCAGGCACTCCCTGAAATATGGTCAAAATTAACTGAGTACACTCGTTGCCTAGGCATTACATGGATTGCCCAAAAGACGACCGGCACTCTCTGTAACAAAACTTTTCGTACGCGGACGGTTGTGTGCATATATGTTGCAGGCACTTTAGAAAATCAGTCATTTTGTAAAATGCCTAGGCGTTTTAAAAAAGACGGCTGTTTGAAAAATGACTGAACGCAACCAGGCTTTTTTCAAAATGGCTAGCCATTTTTCAAAATGACTAGGCATTTTGCAAAATGCCTGACCAGCATGGAACGTAGATCCCACTACAGATACTATGGCCAACAGTTTTTGGACGTCTTCCTATACCCTATAGGTACGTGTTCAGCATGTAGCTGATCGATTTGAAGCTCTGTGATAACGACAATGCTGAGTAACGACCAGGTTGAGTTGCAGACTCCGCTGTAGCATAAAGCATTGTTTAGTTAACGCTGTAAAAACTCCCAAGTACATCAACGCCGTTCATGTTCTGCCTGAAACTAGTCCTAACAAAACCAGCCGGAGACCGGCCCTAGTCAATAGGCAGGCCCGGTCGATGTACAATTACATGTAAACGAATGAGTGTAGTCTTTGTTTGATTGTGCCATTACGGGCAAAACTGCATTATGTATTTGGACATTAAAAACACGTTCGAATTTAATTATAATTTCCCACTCCTTCTCTCTCATCCTCACATTTTAACACGCGCAGTTGAAGGGGGGGGGGGCGGATTCCGCCCACCCCTCCTGTTTTTCGCCAATAACTCGCGCCGCAAGGTTTTCTTTAGGTTTTCTTCCTAACTTTTCTTTGGAATAAAAAAGCTCTCTGATCACAATGAATATTAAAGCAATAATTAACAAAACACGATTTATTTTGCTCTGTGGCAACAGCTTTGAGTACCTACTTGCATGGTCCCAGTTAAAAATATCAAGCTCCACATCGGAAGAATCATCAGGTCGCTTGGCGTAGGACGAGGGCGTTGGTTTCAGAAGACACTAACGCCTAAGTGTGTGGGATCGAGTCCTCGCGACCTCCAATAGTTTTACAGATACAGGCCGGCATAGAGCCAGTCGTTTGTTGACGCTCCAGATCGATCATTTCAAATCCAGCAGCGTCGCTGACGTGGGGGTTGGAAATGTCGCGGGCCTGCACTTCTCAAAATAGAGGTAGGTATGGACTTCCCACTGCTGGACTCCTCTGGTCATAATGCTGGACTCCTTGGTCCACCTACACGCTACCAAAAGGTATATAATTAGGTACTCGTATCTACAACACACTGCTCAGTCATTTTGTAAAATGGCTAGGTATTTTGTAAAATGCCTAGGCATTTTGCAAAATGACTGGAGAGTCAGTCATTTTGTAAAATGCCTAGGCTTTTTGCAAAAAGCCTGGAAAATCAGGCATTTTGCAAAATGCTTAGGTATTTTACAAAATGACTGATTTTCTAAAGTGCCTGCAACATATACACGCCGGCAGGCGGGAGGGGGAGGGACGTTATCGTATTGGTGTACAATGGGCTAACACTACGAGATATTTCACGGATAGTCTCGTCTGCAGCGTACCTACTTTATTGTTAGCTAGTACACAAATATTACACTGTGCAGTTATCGGGTTTCTCTGAAGTGTGGGGTCTGCGGTGTTGGTCCATAGGCAGTAAAAACAAAATATCGTCTGGAAACTCTCCTAGAGAGACCGCATTTTCAAACAAAAGGTTCCAGAACTGTTTTATTATTTGTTGACACATGGAGCGCCGCGTGGCACCGACTCGTACACATCATTCCAGCCTTACGGCACTTGCACCTCTTGGTGTTGCACTGTTTGGCGCTGGCCCGGCATGCACACTGCTTCATCTCTTGTCCTCCAAAAAGTGACTGCTCTCGGAACGCCTCTCTCAGGCCAAGAGTGCGATCTGTTCCGACCACCCCAACCTCGTTTGCATTGGTTT